AAAGATTCCTATAGTTTAAGAAAAGTGTACGTTGCTTTTGAAAGGAAAAATAACAAAAAAGAAATTGGATAACATGAATTCTTCACTCTTCATCATGATCCTCTAAACACGTTTGTAAAATGGTTTATTTCTTTTGCTATGCCAAAATTTACAAATTTTATCATAATTTGAGACAAACTTTTTCAAAGTAAAAATAAATATCAACGTTTAATTATTTTAAGGGTCTTTTTTTTTTCTTTTAATTTATAAAACAAATAAAAAAGAGGACAATCCACAATTTAGGGGGGAAAAAAACAAAATTAAGGTTATTTCTAGCATCATTGGAACCCCTCTCACCAAACTTTTAACAAAGTTAAATAAAATGAAACATTGATTATATGGAGAACAATAATAATTAACATTAATGAAACTATATATATTTCTCCTAATTGTTTTTGCGAAAAACAAAAAATCATATTCATGTTAGTTCTTTCTTGGTATTCTTCTTTAATGCAAATTGAATTATTTATGGATAGCATGCAACAAAACTTCCATAGCCATCAATTTAGGAGCTTAATATATAAATATGGCACAATCAAAGACCCACATTTTTGTTCTTATTTATTTATTTATTCATTGACTTGAATAAGCTAGCCTATATGCATGTGATATACTAAAGAATCCAGCCAAGCATCACCAAACAATTTCATTCATTGACTCTTTCAATGTTTCCCTTTTTCTCACTCTTCCTTTTCTTTCTTTGAAAGCAAAACCAAAATTTTTTATCTCAAATGTATGCCCTTGAAGGAGGACATCAGGCCGCATGATTTTTTTTATCACTTCATTTATCACACCAAAATGGTCGGCCAATATAATACGTGTTATTAATGTAAAGTAAAACAAGCTATTACTATTGTACTATATAAGGGAAATCAGTATTATTTATTTATTTTTTAAAAAATAATAATTGGAGATCTTTGGTATTCATTTTCATGTCATGGATGATAATCTTCGGTTTTATAAATTACATATATATTTTGAATTTTGAATTAATCAGAATTTGAACTTTGAATATTAAAATATAGAATTCAACATTTAGCATTAGTTATATGTATTATATATATAGGGAATGAAAACCCTAAATTAACCCTTTAATTAAATATTCAATTATTAAATTTTAGTAAGGCACCAAACTTTAACACCAATTATTATGTGTCGTACGCGTATTTAATCCTATCTATATTTATATTAATTAGGTATGTTAATTACAACTTAGGATATTCCTTTGTTTTTTTTCCTTCATATCACGTGTTTTAAATTAATTTTATTTTCTTAAAGTTTTGATAGTAGATTTTTAATTACTTGATTAGATTTAGGGTTTATATAATAGGTACAAACACTAACTTATCAAATCATAACTATAGTTTATTACTTCTATTTAAATATATATATATATATATATCAATGAAGAAGACTAATACCCATTTACATTACTCTTATATTAGTCTATATATATATATATACACTAACATCATTTCTCTTTCATGCTCTTACTTTTTCCTTCATTCTTATCCTTATTTCGGAATAATTTTCTTAATCAATAATTGTCTTCAAATTTGATTAAGATACAATTTTTTTGTTTTAAACCTACATTCTTTCAAATCGATTTGGTATATTTAATTAGAATTTTTCTTCGGATTAATCTTTCAAGAATCTAACATTAGAACAATATTGGTTGATAAGAAAAAAAGAGATTCTTTCATCAATAACTCTAATTAACTCTTGTGGATTATACATATATAATCCAATAAATGATTCAAATATTCTAATTTTTGTTGATAAATGTTAGATATGATAATTCGTATATTTATGTCATGTAAAATATTAAAATTTATACATTCATATCATATTTTATATGAAATTATAATTTGTGTTGATATGAAAATATAAAATATAAATTTTTTTTATTTTATTAAACTCATATATAATTATTATTATAATTTTAAATTGTATCATCTTTGTATTTTATTTTATATATATCATCTTTGTATTTTATTTTATATCATATTCTTATCATGTTATTATATGTATTTTAGATTACTAGATCTAATAAATGTGGAGATATAACAATTTTGTAGTGTGGCCGTGAGGGCCTAGATAAAACAACAACTAGTGAACAGGTTTTGCTGCCCGACAGGAGGATAAGATTATTCACAACAACTTTTGTTTTGTCTTCACAACTGGATTAGTAATAGCATTTTTTTTTTTTTTTTTAAGGAAGTGAAAGTCTTGGGTAATTTGGTATGAAAGGAAAACTTCAAAAAACAAAACAAATAAACAAAGTTTTAGGTTGCCAATATTCATGCTTTTGATTAATAATATATACTATAATAATCTTCGTTTCAATTTTTGCTAACATAAGCACCAAAGTTTCAAAAGCATTGCTGGCACTAAATCCTTTGTGCATTTTTAGGAAATAATTAATTTAATTACTATATACTTCTGTAATTTTAAATATACGAATAGACACGATCACAATCATTGTGAAAGCTTTTTAAGGGTTTTTTTTTTATAATTATTCATAAATTAATTGAAAAATTAAAGAAATGGATGTATAATTAAAATTAAACACAAAATTTCAATCATAAAAACTAATACTCTTGAAAACATATGTTAGAATGTTTATTAATTTCCGTTAGGTATAAGATGTGAAACAAATAAAAATGTATAGTTTTATAGAATATATTTTATGGAAAGTCAATGACATTGCTTCAACAATGAGTTGATGAAGTTCATGTCGCTAATATTTGAATATGCATTATTATTGAATCTATTCCAAGTAACATTTAATATATATATATATATATAATAATTCATTCTCTCCTAAATCTTGGCCATGATTGGGGACCTTAGAACATGTTAGCTAATTATTAAAAATTATATATATTTATAAATATGAGACTTAACCTTAATGATTCATATATTAATTATCTTTAATTTGAAATTTAAATTTTAGTATTTATAATCATTTATTTAATCTTATCATCGTATGTTTGAAATTAAAAAATATTCAAATAATAATTAAATAAATTTGATATTTTTATACGAAAACCATTATATCTCTAAAGTTTTGTTGAATTTAATTTTTTTGAATAATATTAAAGATGTATTCTCTTATATCATTTTGATATATTTAAATTTTTATTTTTAAAATATCCTCAAAATTTTGAATATATATTGATAAAAAAAACACTCTCTTTTCAATTGGTCTAATTTTTTTTTTTGGGTATGTAAATATTTTAATAGTGCATCCAATTATTTGATTCAATAATAAATCATCTACTCTCTTGTTCAATAAATAAGTTTGATTTTATTTTTCAAAATGAAAAAAAAAAAAAAAAAAAACTCTTATCATGTTGATAGCAACAACGTATAGCCCACGTCCACGTGATCTGACCCAGTTCCAACTCATTGCTTCTACTTTTTGTACGCAAAAAACGTGTGGACTATATAACTCTTTTATCCTACTAAATTAAAATAAAAAAAGAAAAAATATTAAATATATTATTAATATATTTTTTTATTTTATAACCGAAATTAATAAAATGATACATGAAATAAAAAATTAATTAAAAAATATAAGATATATGTCAACATATTAATTTTGTTTGTAAAAGTAAAAAATTTTATTAATAATATATCATATAATTTTTTATAAAAATATAGTACATATTTGAAATATTTATTTAATTCTTTGTGGACTTTTTTAGGGTTTTTTTTTTAGATTAAAAATTACATTTGATGGTATTTGAAATTCATTTCCAAAAGAAAAAAATTGCCAAGTTATGGCTCCTAGATTTGATATTAAAAAATCAATTTAATTTGGCATCATATAATAAGTCGAAAATAAATAAATAAACCATATGCAAATTGATTATTAAGAGCAATTAGATTAATAAATGTTTAATAAAAGGATCAAATTGTACAAAAAAAAAGTGATGAAAAAAATGTACTACAAACATAAAAATTGTCGTACAAATAAAATTTCCACCCAACTCATAAAGGGGAAAACATCAAAGAAAGAGACTCAAACTCACCAAATTTATAATTAATTTCATTAAAAACCCTTTAAACCAACATAAAAAATTAAAAAATAATTAAAAAATCAACTACTACATGCCAAGTCAGCCTTGGACCCACCCAACCCCGTCCAAAATATACGAAAACGACTTGGTCCATAATTACCAACTTTCTTTTTTATCTTTTCCTTATTTTTTGTCTCTGCCGGTATCGCCTTCTCCTCTACTTAACTTTTTTTTTTCGCCGCCGTAAGTTTTACGGTTTATAAAGTCTTTTAATGGTTGATATTTTTAAGATGGTAAAAAGATAAAAGAAGATTTTGAATAAAAATTTAATAATTATTTAAATTTATAATATTTTATTATATTTAATAAAATTTTAAATTTTTTTATTTCAGAAAATTAACTCTATTTTCTTTGAAAAAATTTAATGAAAAAAAGTTAGATTATTTAATTTATTATAATAAAACGATAAAAATTTGAATAATTATTAAATTTTTATTCAAGTATTTTTTTATTCTTTATTTTTTATTTATTTACTTTTTATTAAATAAAATTATGTTAATAAAGATAAAATTAAAATTTTGTTATCCACATTGTTGAGGTTAATTAAATATTAAATTTATAATAAATTTTTTGTTAAAAATTATTATTTTAAAAAATTATGATATAGGGGATATGCTTAGATGTATTGAAAGAAAATATTATTTGATATAATAATTTTAAATATTACTGCTTTATAGCATTTTTTAACAAAAATAATAAAAAAGATTTTGTTAACCCTTTTAGTGTATTCCTTAATAAAATCTAATAAAAATAAAGTGGAAATAGAAGGGAAATAACAAATGAAATAGAATAAAATGAAGCTTTAATTAGTTAAAAAAAATTTTACCGCGGTTAAAAAATGAAATAAATGGAAATTTCAAAAAGGTAGGCATAAAATGGTTTCGGAGTTCAGTCGTTGAGTGTACGCGTTTTCAAACCCAAAACATATAGAAAAAGGAGGAAAATTGTCTGAAGGTATCGTGTTGGATTCAGCCTCTGACTCAACTGCGTGTTTCTCTTCCAACTCAGGGAAAATTTTCTGGGTTTTTGAAGTTAAGCTCTCTTAAACAATAAGAAGGAAGATGACGGTCATGAACAAGATCTGGAAGTTTGTAAGATTAAGACAAGAGTTTGGAGTTGGTGTTTTGCTGTTTTTGTTATGTCAAAGTTTGGTTTGTTGGTCGTTGAATGAAGAAGGTAAGTTTTTTTTTTTTTTCTCTTTTTTTGTTTTGGGTTTTGTTTGTTTCTTGGGAAAGTGGAGGAAAAAAGATGTTTTGGTTATGGATATGCAGGATTGGCTTTGTTGAGATTAAGAGAAAGAGTTGTGAATGATCCGTTGGGTGCTTTGTCGGATTGGAAAGAAGAAGATGGAGAGTTTGACCATTGTTCCTGGTTTGGTGTAGAGTGCTCGGATGGAAAAGTTGTTGTTTTGTAAGTTTTTCTTTTCTGTTCTCTGCCTTACTTTTTCTTGCTCCGATGATTATTTTTTTTTGGTGGATGCTGTTTGGTTTCAGAGAAAAGAAAGGAAAAAAGAATTGAAATTTTGAGTCTTTAGTAATCCTTTTTAACTTTTTGGTTGGGAGAGGTTAGTTTTAAGATATGATTATTAAGTATAACCATAATATCAAATAGAACTTTGATTTCCAATTTAAAGAAATAGCTTTCTGTATTGAAAATGCAAAATTTCATACTGTTTCAATGTCAAATGAACTGTTTGATGGATGTATGGCTCCAGTTATAAGTTTATGCAATAATTATGAAGTGAAATAACAGTCTTTTATTTATCAGGTTTGACTTGATACACTTTTGGATATACAAATTGTGATAGCTTATTTCCTTTAATTTGTTCAAAAATTTGATGGATGGAATGAATAAATTACAGGAACTTGAAAGATCTTTGTCTTGAAGGAACATTGGCACCTGAGCTTGGAACTCTATTTCACATTAAGGCCATGTAAGTGTCTTATGACTTGTTTAACTGATTGTTGATATTAAACGCTAAGTGCTTTCTTAGATGGTTGCTTGACAATCTCTTGAAGTTTACCCATTCTACTTTCTTCTATGCTCCATTTTGATGTTATTGTTTCCTCGACAGTGTGTTGCGGAACAACTCTTTTACTGGAATTATCCCTGAAGGGATTGGAGAACTGAAGGAATTAGAGGTGTTGGACTTGGGATACAATAACTTCAGTGGACCACTTCCACCTGAACTTGGTAGCAATCTGTCACTAACAATCCTGTAAGTCGACAATGTCAAACAATTTACGTCTCATTCCCGTAGGCTTTTTCTCTCTCTCACCCAGTATGATAACTTAATTTTATGCCTATGTTGCAGTTTACTGGACAATAATGAGCTTCTCAGTTGTTTCTCTCCTGAAATTTATGAACTTCAGAAGCTTTCAGAAACTCAAGTGGATGAAAACCAACTATCTAAGGCTGCTACATCATCTTGCAAGCATAGATTAAATACATGGTATGCCAGCACATTTGTGTAGAAGCCATTCTCATATAGCTAGATCTAACAAGTTAAAATATAGAAATGAGCATTCCTGAACAAGTTTAGTTGCATCATATTGTTCATTGTTCTTAGGCTCCTTTTAGTGCTGCTAATGTTGAAAACTGGATAAAGTTATATGTGAAATGTTTGTTAATATCTGTTTCACAAAAAAATAAAAATAAATAAATAACTCTTTGGCTGGATCAAATGGATGTAATTGTCATGAAAATTTTCTACCTTTAGTGATTATTAGCTATGTTCTGTTTCTTTCTAGTATAATTTTTCATTGGCTGTTCCTTTGTGATTATGTATTCTTATTGTTTAATCCTTCTTTATGCCTTTGCTAGGAATGTTGACCAATCTGAAGATGGAGTGCAAAGGAGACTGCTGCAAGATGCCACTTCTGCAATGTCAGTGGAACAACCCTTTATAAACTTTAATGTATCTTCATCTCCTTCTCATCCAACTGAAGGTCCAACTCCTCCTGCATCATCTGAACCTTCAGCAAATAGTACATATGCAAGAGATGCTCATCGACATTCCCCTCCTCCACCTCTTAAACCATCAGAACCTAACACTTCTGCTCCATCCCCTTCAGGAAGCAATTCTTCAAGTTCTCATTCTAGTTCAAATCATCAAACTGCAATACTGGTTGGAGCCATAGGGGGAGCCATATTTCTAATATTTATAGCCGTTGCCTTTCTCTTTAAAACTTCTAAGGTATCTACTGTGAAACCTTGGGCCACAGGGCTAAGCGGACAGCTTCAGAAAGCGTTTGTAACTGGTAATTCTTCTGCACCATTACAAAATTAGACAGTAGATAAAATTTAAAATCTTTCTTGATTTCAGATCATATTAATATTTTCAATCCAACTTAAGATGGTTGCTGAATACAGGACAAAGAACAATAGTTGAGATTTTAGTTTAATTCACTATAACCTAAAAACAAGTCTTCGTAGAATGAAAAATTGTCATTACATGTCTCCTATGTGGCTGGCAACATAAGCTTTATGTCATTAATGAAAAGGGAATCATCCCAAATACAAAGCTCAAAAGAGGAAAAGGGACCTTTATTTGTTTTACTTTGGTGCATCAGTTATTGGTTGATATTTTATCCAACAGAAAAGTGTGCATCTTTTATTAGTAGCCTCAAATTCTCCCAGAATATCTATAATATATGATCGATTACTTGCATTTCAGGTGTACCAAAGCTGAAGAGATCAGAGCTTGAAGCAGCCTGTGAAGATTTCAGCAATGTAATTGGTTCTTCAACAATTGGCACTGTGTACAAAGGGACACTATCTAATGGGGTTGAAATAGCCGTGGTCTCTGTCCCAGTGAAATCTGCCAAAGATTGGTCAAAGAATTTAGAAACACACTTCAGGAAGAAGGTATTGTACTGAAAAAATCCATCTAGATACACATTCTTCATGTGTTCTTATGGTCTACCTAACTATTTCTATGTTTATGGTTTCAGATTGACACATTATCAAAAGTGAACCACAAAAATTTTGTCAACCTTCTTGGATATTGTGAGGAAGATGAGCCTTTCACTAGGATGATGGTTTTTGAATATGCGCCAAATGGCACTCTTTTTGAGCATTTACACAGTAAGTAACTAATTGTTTGTTTCGGTGTTTGTAGATGGACCTTTATTGCCTGTTACCAACATTTCATTTTTGCTCCCTTTGGGGGATCCTATTTCTGAAATAGAGTTTAAGCATTTAGCCTAAAGAATGCCTGGCCTTTCATAGGCTCCAATGGAGTCACCAAATTCTGCTACTTCAAGCATAGAATCTGGAGCTTAGTTAGCCATACTAATTTGTTCACAATATGATATTTATGTCAATTTCATTAATTTCTTATTCCTCTATATCGTATCATCCTTGTAGTTTGACCTTTTCAAAATAGTAACAAAAGACTTGGTCAGACCTCTTGTTTGTCCAACTTGTTGATTTTTTCAATGGAAGGAAACTCATCCTGCACTTTTTGACTTCTGGGATATATGAATGCCATTCAGTTGACTTTATCTTGCAATATTGTTCGCATATGGTTTTTGTATAAATGAGCTGTTTCGTGCGAACCTGACATGTTGGAATGTCCTCGTGTCTGTGACAGTAAACCTTTTACCCTAGTATAGAAGAATGGAGGAAAAGAAACATTAGCTGCCTTTTTTCCATTTTTGTGCTAATGACTTCCAAGATGAAAGGTTAATCGATGCATATGGTTTCAAGGATCCTGTATGCTTAGAATTATGCATGGTAGTTTGCTACATAACCTGGCATTAGAAGATAATATGCTTCCCCACTTACCATGAAGAAGCGACATTATGTTTTTCATTCTTTGCAAGCATTTTCCTTTTACCTTTTTCTTTGGTGTTAAGCATTGAAGTAATCATTGTATCTTTTAATTGATATTGCAGTTAAAGAATCTGAGCACTTGGACTGGGCAATGAGGTTGAGAATTGTAATGGGCATGGCTTACTGCCTGGAGCATATGCACCAGCTGAACCCACCCATACCCCATAACAACCTGTCCTCCTCAGCTGTCAATCTAACAGAAGACTACGCAGCCAAAATCTTAGATCCTTGTTTCTGGAATGAGATGACTGCAGTAGAGAGGGAAACTGAACGAAAAAACCTTTCAGATACCCCACTAGCAAGCCTAGAAAGTAATGTTTATACCTTTGGTGTTTTATTATTTGAAATAGTAACAGGTAGGATGCCTTACTTGGTGGATAATGGTTCACTTGAAGACTGGGCATCGGACTATTTGAGAAGGGAGCAAGCCCTCATAGAGATGGTTGATCCTGCTCTAAGCTCTTTTGACAAGGAGCAACTCGAGAAAATTGGGGAGATCATAAAATCTTGTGCCCACCCTGCACCTCGACGGAGACCAGATATAAGAGAAGTCAGTGCAAGATTGAGAGAGATTACTGGAATTACACCTGATGGTGCAATCCCAAAACTTTCACCTCTTTGGTGGGCAGAGCTTGAGGTTATGTCTGCCGAAGCAAGCTAGGCAATGAAGTTGAGATTGTAAGTATGAAACTTGGATGTTTTCTCTATCTTATGTAGGTGGAGAGGCAAAAAGAAGATTGCCTGTAGCTCAACAGTGGTTGTATTTATTTTAGGGTAATGGAAAGTTGGCTGTATATATTTGAGATAGAGAGGAAATCCAGGAAATATTCCTTGCTTGTTTTGGCTTTCAGTGTGAAAATACATTAAAAAAAAAAAGGCATAATTGCATGCCCCTTGGTGTCCATTTGTTCTGATTTGTTCATTGTTACCCTCATTTTTGCAATGATGAATCAATTGGTTGCCCAATCGTGCATTCTTTCTCTGCCAAGGATATTATAGACTAATAATCCAGTTATCCATAAGAGAGTTGTATAAAGAATAGCAGATGCAGGAATCAATTGATGTGCATGAATTCAACTGTCTTATCTTTATTTTTAGATCGAAATCTTATAAACCTGAAAATGATGCTTGTGATTTCTAATCAAATGCTTATACAATTCATGTAAACAAATAGTGATACTCTGCAATGTTCTTTGATGAATAAAGTTCATCTTCATGAGTACGATTAAGTGGATAAAAAAGCCAGCTTTAATAGGATTGGTATCCGAAAATTTTAAAATTTTAAACAGGAATATCCATACATTTAAAATCGAAAAACTTATCCAAATATGAATCAAATCCATTGATTTTCAGACATGCTTGAAAATCTGACATCTCCTAGGATATGTCACTCATATGAAGTTTGAAGCCTTGGCTAGGTTTCGTATAGCAAAAGCCGAAAGGGCTCTTCCAAGGTCAGCTCCATAGTCTTATTTTTAACTCCAAGGTGATGGATGTCATTATAATTCATTGTTAATAATAAGAAAGTGGCCCTCACGTAAACAAATAGAGAATGAAAGACGAGAAGGTTGGTTATATAGTTGGTAGTTAGTAGCCTCCACGTCTATCAAAATTTGAAAGCTTTCCCCAACTATATATACCATCGCAGGGAGTAACCCTCCATCCCACAAGTCTCAGCTTTTTTCTTGATCTTCTCTCCAAGCTCCAAGCTGATATCCCTGAAAAATGGCTAGCAGCAGTCACCTAGCAGTTTTCATCTCGTCACTGTTGCTTCTCCCATTGGTCTTCCCCTCCATAGCTGCTTATGGAGACCTCCTAAAAGAGATGAAAACTGAGGTAGTTGTGGAGGGAATGGTCTACTGCCAGAGCTGTGATTATTATGGATCATGGTCCTTGTTGAAAGCAGAACCAATCGCTTCAGCTAAAGTTAGTGTCATCTGCAAAAACAAAAAGGATCAAGTTAGCTTCTACAAGGCTTTTGAAACAGACGGGAACGGCTACTTCTTTGCTGAACTTGAAGGGTTCCAAATGAGCCATTCTCTTTTGGACCATCCTCTCCAATCTTGCAATGTCAGGCTTGTTTCATCACCTCTTGAGAACTGCAACCTCCTCTCTAACATTAACAATGGACTCTATGGCTCCCCACTGCGTTATGAAAGCAAGAGACTCTACAGAAAGGATTATGAGGCTGTGATCTATGCTGCAGGTCCCTTGGCTTTCCGACCAGCACATTGCCCTGCCCCAACTCACAATTAACGTCACTACCGATTATCTTCGACCCGCACTGGATTAAGTTTTCATTTTGATTCTTGTTTTTCTGATCAGTCTAATTTTAATCCATCTATGTTGGTACATTGTTCTTTTTCTTGAATAAAATTGAACTCTGCTGCTGTTTTTGCTGCTTCAATTCCTTTTCCTTTTTCGTTTTATGACAGAAAGAGGAAACTCTCTTCTTCAATTTTTTTTTTCTTGCACTGTTTAGACAAGCCATGGGTATGAATCTCAAGCATACGTATTTATATGCAGTTAAGCTCCAACAAAGATCATAGGAAATGTCAAAAGGCACACAATACATTACGTTTCAAAATTGTCACATGAGCAAACAAGATGGAAACTCCATCTAGTCCAAGGTTTCTACATTCAAATAAATGTACCAAATCAGGATAAAGACTCAAGCAACTTCACTATAGCGATGTATCAAAACTCACTCTAGCACAAGTAATAAGTTTCTTTCTCCTAGAAGTCTAGTGGCATTCCAAACATCTTATTTATATCATCCATTGCTTCTTTTGTAAACAAAGTTGGCTCAAATAAATCACAACAACTTAATTTACCAGATGATTTTGATGGGGGCTGTTGTTCTTGATGTTCCAATTCATTGTCAGGAAGTACAGAAAACCCACCTAGATCAGGTGTCTTGACTGGTGCTTTGTCCTGCTTATTTCTCTTTGCCCTTACAAAATATATTGGCTTTCCAAACATGTTATTGATATCTTGCATAGCCTCCTTCAAGTTAATTGTAGGGTCAACTAAGCCATGGTGGCAAACATTTTCTACGATTGGCTCATCTGAAACGGTCGAACCAACAAATCTGTGAACCACTGTATCTCTCTAAGCTTTGTTTGGCGCAAACTTTGTGCATCAACATCATCTGAACTTTCAGGAGAAAGATCATTAGGACTGGGAAACTCAAAGACATTTAGATGCAAAGCAGATGACATAGAACCTCTTCTTGAATTTTGAGCCTCAATCTGTTCTAAGTTATCTTTCTCATCATTTCCATCTCCAGCCTCACTATTTCCTTCATCATCATCAACATATATTTTAAATGATTTGTCCTGAGGCTGACAAGTTCGAGTTCTACCCTGCTGCCCCTTTTCTTCACGTTGAATTGATGAGTTGATTCCACTATCCAAATTTTCATCAAACACATTAAATCCTATGTTCAGACTATGATGTTCTTTCTGTTGCCCTCGGTGTGATCTCCTGCCAATAGGAGCCATCTCCAAAGGTTCTCGAAACATCCTATTAATTGCATTCATTGCCTCCTTCATATTTATTGTAGGATCCACTATTCCATGATGGCGAGCATCTCCTGTTTCAGATTTACCAACAATAGCAGTATCAACAAAGGTCACAACGACCGTATCATCATTCCCAACCTTCCTGTGTTCATCCAACTCTTTTTCCATTAAAGCTCTCTTCTTGGACATATTTTTACTTCCAACAATCTCCTTCTTGCTCTCGACATTTTTACAATTATGTAATGCTGAAGACCTCTTATGTCTATCCTCTACTATGCATATGCCTTCCCTGTTTTCATTTAACTCGCTGCATTGGAAAGGCCTCCTGAGAGGTTTTCCTTCCTGGCGTTGCAGCACTCCAGGACATAATCAGGGAAAAAAAAAATAGACAATGAAAACAAGCACACTAGATAAACAACAAAGAGAACTACCTTAATTTTCTTCTTCTTATGTCTTTCCATCCGATCTAGGAATTGCTCATATGATTATGACCAAAATTGTACAGAGTGAAAATTAGTTAAATGAAAAACAAAGTCCCATGTTTATGACGAAAAGAACTCAACTTTAATACTATAATCAAGTAATAAAACGGTAAGCACATAACTTTTCCCTATTGCATTTCATTATAACATAGAATAAATTGCATGAAAAAGATGAACATAAGTCCATGGAAAGAGACATAAATAAATTTTCTGAAAAAATCCATTCAAAATTTGGTTCCTTCAATTCTTTTTTACTTGATACCCGAGTTTAGTTACACATCACAAAAACCTCTAGAACTGCTAATTTGACAATTCTAACCTTCCAAATTCAGCAAAAATAATATCTTTAAACGGATTTACATATCATTCATATTAGTTTTGAAAATTAAACAGAAAACTTAAAAAAAAAAAAAACACTTACTTTTGAACACCCAAATCTTACATTTTTTCAGCATCGTCAAATTTCTTGATCTTCTCATGGTAAAGACCATATGCTTGATAGTACAAAGACCGTTTTGTCCCTATATGATTCATCTCCATTCTTCTCAACAGCACTCTCGGGTCTTCCACAAAATCCATCTACTCACCAAAATAAATCAATCCAAAAATTAAAAAAAAAAAAAAACCCAAAAAAATTATAAATTTCTTTAAAAAAGGAAGAATGGGTTCGATAGTTAAGTTAGTTTACCAACTGTAACCAAACCCGGAGATAGCGTAAATCGTTACGATAACGGCCGTCGGATTCGAATGTTTAGGTACATTTTTATTAGAACCGAGGTAGCTTCGCGGTTAGAATATGGGGTGGCAGTGATTCTTTGATTTTCTTAATCCCTCTGTAAAAAAAAAAAAAAATCCAAGTTCATACAAAAGATTTAATATTTCATAGAAAAGAAAATGAAAAATTGAAGCTAAAAAAAAAAAGAGAGTACTGAAGCCAAGGGACTTGCCTAAGTATGATTTCATTTCAGATATTAATGAAGTAAAGAGATTTCCGTACATTGTCTCGTTTTTTTCCGCCATTTATTATTATTATTTTTTTGCAATGAAAATGGTTTTGGCCTGTGATTTTGGAACGAATGATTTTTGAATCTACGCTAAGGCGCTGATCGGGTCGGGTTCGGTTTGTGAGATTTGAATATCGGATCTAATCATGGGTTTCTTTTGTTAGTGAACAATGGGAAATATAAGTTAAGGGATATATTAGCAAAATATCCCCCAAGTAAATTTTAGCATCAAAATCCCAGCGCCGCCGCCTTCCTTCACACTTCAGTGTCCTCGCTTGCAGCAAAGTCACACTTCCCCCCTTTTTTTACGATGTCAAACCCTGACCCGAAACCCGACCCAGAACCCCAAAAAACCTTCAACACCAATGACATCGACGAAGAAGGAGACGAAGGCGAAGACGAAAACGAAAACGACCTCAAAGACGATGAAGACCAAGACGACGACGTATTCGGAGAACCGAACCGTCCTAAACCTAAAACCCGTGAGGCTCAATACCGTTTGGATAAACTCAAAATGGACTCGCTACTCCAGCGAATGCAGAGTGGCCCCGTTTCGGTCCGAGTCCACGACGTGATCATAAAAGGGAACACAAAAACCAAGGACTACATCATTGAAGCCGAGACCGAGGAGTTGAAGAGCGTCGGCTCGATGCAAGAGCTCTTAAAAGCGTCGCAATTAGTCAATTTGCGGCTCCAAGCGCTTGAAGTTTTTGATTCTGTGAAAATCACGCTTGATTCGGGTCCACCGGAATTGCCTGGAACTGCTAACGTGATTATTGAGGTTGTTGAGACAGCAAGCCCTCTTTCGGGACAGATTGGAGCTTATACGAAAGCTGAGGTGATATTTTTAATCTGATTTTTTAATATTTATTTTTGCTTAATCTGCTTGTTTTGATTTCCATATGTTTGGTTACTGAGAAATTGGAGCAACACCGTGAGGGAAAATTGTTGCAATGTGGCTTTTGTAGGCTTTAAGTTTAAATGAAGTTCTAGAAAATTTGGAATGCAAAATTAGGTTGAATTTGATATGCTGAAATGAAAATGTTGTTAAAATTCTGGTGACTTAATTTATTTAAAATGATGTTCTGATTATATTTTTTGGTGAAAATTTCTATTGTGGAAGCTGTATTTCAAGGAATAACTATATAGCCGTGCTGTATTATATTATGTATGTAGAATGTCCCAAGTTCAGCCAACCCCAGAGCATAGGATATAAGGCTTAGTTTGTTGTTGTAGAATGTTGCAAGTTAAGAGGATTTGTTCGGCTGGATGCTGGAGTATTGATCTTTATTAAGGATTTAGATGGATAGAAGAGTAGAAAAGATGCCTGTTGAATGAGGCTGCATATAAACAATTCCACCTCCCAAAATTTTTAACCGTCAAATAAGTTTTGTAGAAGCAAGAATGAAGGTGCATTTTGCTGTTTTTTTGTGACATTTTTGCCATGTATCATACACAGAGTTGTTTGGACATTTCACGGCACTCAACCTGCATACGTAATCAATGTAGTCATAAATTGGTTGTTACATGTCAGGTGTGAGTATCACAAGTATAAACTATAGATGTCTATGTGATCATAATATTTATACTGGCTTTGAAATGGCACTCATTTCTGTGAATTTGAAGCATACTACCTCAATCTGGTTTTTAAATTCATAAAATGCTGTTGTAGGCTAGATCTTCTACAGTAGAAAGGGTACGTACCTATTGAATGAGGCTGCATATATACAATTCGACCTCCCAAAATTTAAACTGCCAAATAAGTTTTGCAGAGGTAAGAATGAAGGTGCATTTTGTTGTGATTGTGTGACATTTTTGCCATGCATCATACACAGAGTTGCTTGGACATTCCATGGCACTCTATCTGCATACGTAGTCAATGTAGTTATACGTTGGTCATTACATGTCAGGTGAGTATCACAAGTATAAACTATAGATGTATATGTGATCATAATATTTATACTGGCTTTGACACGGCACTCTTTGCTCTGAATTTGAAGCATACTACCTCAATCTGGTTTTTAAATTTGTACAATGCTGTTGTAGGCTAGATCTTCTACAGTGGAAGGATCTCTCAAGTACAAAAATTTGCTTGGACATGGGGATCTTTGGGATGGTTCACTAGCATATGGCTATGATCACTCAGCGGAGTTAAGCACTGGCGTGTATTTGCCCAGATTAAAAGGATTGGTAACTCCTGTCACAGCACGAGCATACTTAATGTCCCAAGATTGGCTAAAATTTTCTTCTTACAAAGAGCGATCATTGGGTCTCTCTCTTGGTTTATTTTCTAGCACATATCATGATGTGGCATACAATCTTGCATGGCGTACCTTGACAGATCCATCACAAATGTCATCAAGATCCGTAAGGAGGCAGCTTGGGCATAATTTACTTTCTTCTTTGAAGTATACCTTTAAATTTGATAGGAGAAATTCATCAATGAGGCCAACTCGGGGTTATGCTTTTGTTTCTACTACTCAAGTTGGTGGCATTGCACCTGATAGTCGGAGCTTACGATTTCTGCGGCAGGTATGAATTACGTGTGCTCTTCCTTTTTTGCTGCGTTTCTATTTGTAGTTCTTAGAAGCATTCTTTGTTTTGTCTCACAATCATGCATTTTTATTTGTTTGGTAGAATTGCTGTTGCTTTCTTTGTTTTATCATTTTTTTTTTTCTGTTGATATTTATGACAGGAGTTTGATCTTCGTTTCGCTGTTCCTCTTGGATTTTATGGTGCTGCTCTTAATTTTGGGATTTCTGGTGGTGTTGTCTTTCCATGGGGGAATGGATTCTTGAATAAGCCATCATCCCTGCCCGAAAGATTCTTCTTAGGCGGCAACATATCTCCAGTCTGCGCTTTAGGAGGGCCAACAGCATTATGGGGATTTAAGACAAGGGGAATGGGTCCAACAGAGCCAAAAAGACAGGTTAATGATGAAAATGCTGATCCTTCTGGGGTGGATTTTCTTGGAGGAGATCTTGCTGTTACTGCTTTGGCAGACCTTTCTTTTGATATTCCATTTAGGTGGTTTAGAGAAAAAGGAATTCATGCTCATGTTTTTGCATGTGCTGGTAATGTGGCCAAGTTAACAGAGAATGAGTATCGAAATTTCTCTGTTCAGAAGTTTGTAGAGTCACAGCGGAGTTCTGTAGGAGTTGGACTTGTTGTCCCAACAAGTTTATTCCGCATGGAGGTTTGCTTTCTCTCTTGCTGTCTCTTCTCTCTCTCCAAATATTTTCAATCTAAGCAATTGAGAATTTTTAAGACGTTGGTTTCTATTCTGTTTTATATAATTTTATTGATAGTCTAACTTACTAGGATCTCATTTTCCCTGAATGCAATATCATCAAAGCTAAGCTGAGGCAGCAGAATTTGAACTTAGGACCTCCCCTTTGGAGGTAACCATAGCTGCAATACGCTATTTCCTTGGCGGTAATACTGAAACTAGGGGAAGGTTAAGTACTATATCTGTTATATGTTGAGAAATGACAAATTGGAATTCAGAACTTCAAGACAAATAAAGGTTCGAGCAGTATGAGAGGATAACACAGCTTTAGAATATTTGACTGAACATATAGGTTCCATAATGCCGTTCAAATTAATCAGTTTTTTTTTCTTGTGAGGGAAAATGTATGCCCAAGGCAGTTAAGATTCATCTTGCAGAAATTTCATGCTTCATATTGACACTATTCAAAAAGATTGCTAACCATCTGCCTCTTGTTAAGGCAGCCGATGCCATTTTTATCCTTTTTTTCTTGACTGTTTTGAATGTGTTGACTTTCTTGATGAGACAAAGATATGGTATAATTGAGTAGATTCTATGTAATTGCTTGAGTTCCTGACAGGACCAATGACATTTACTATTGTCTCCCTGCTTTCTACTTTGTCTGTTTTTTTTTATTTTTTGCAAGTCTTGGAACTGGCATTTTTGCATCTAACATGATTTTTCCTCCTATTTGTGTCAGCTTAACTACTGCTATATACTGAAGAAGTTCGATCATGATCGGGCAAAAACTGGCGTTTGGCTTACCTTCACTGGTGCATCATAAAATTTTGGACTTAATATCAGTGTCCGGCATTGAGACAACACATCAATCCTGTCATCCAGGCAACTTCATTGTTCCATACCTCGGAAATTCTTCTTCATTTCTCGGTATGGTAGTATTTCAAAACACTGTTGTTTTCTCCCTAGTCAAAGTGTAGTTTCACATTTTGTTGGACAAATTCAGAAGGCTTACTTTTCAGCTCTAGAGCAGAGGGAAATAATGGTACTTATAGCAACCCATTCTTCTCGGCCTGATAAAATTACTCAACTTTTTAATCTCGTTTTCGAAATTGTTTATTTGAGCATCTGATTGTTCATTGATTATGGGAAAATATTTGTGAGGAATGCAAATTTTGTCCCCTTTTTCATTTTCCTTCCAAGTTCATGATAGCTTGTTAGAATACCGCATAATTTTGACTGCATAAAATCGAGTGCATAGGCCTCCCCACGTCGGGAAGGTTAGGTTTGTGTCTCAGCGTTTATATGGGATTCCGCATTAACTCAAAATAAATGATTTTGGAGTTAATAGTATATTTTATCTTTGAAAAATAAAAAAACCCATATCTGTGCGTGCTTGTAATCCTACCGTGACACCCTTATGGGCTCACCAAATGTGGCATATCGAGGCTTCTCAGGTAAGTAGGTTTTGATTTCCGTCTCGCGTGAGACAAGCTTTTGGTCGGAAAGGTTTGGGGTGTGTGTATTTTTATGAGATTTCATATTAACTAAATCAGTTTTAGAGTTAATGACGTGTTCTGTTTCAAAAAAAGAAAAAAATCCAGTGCATGGAGTCAAAATTCACAGAGATATTAGTTCACGTGAGAAAAAAGGGCGACGAGAGATTATGATTGTGGACTCTATATTCAGAATTATTTGGGCTGCCCGAAAGGCCCAACTCAAAAAATTAGAGCCCCGGCTAGATGTGTTGGTGTTTATCAGCTGTTGGGATTTGGCAGGCCACTTTGAATCTAACCCAATAACCCATGCCTTTGGAAGGCCATCCTATTGGGTTGTTAAGGCCTTTCAAATGGGCCTCCAGGATAGGCTCTCTGGTGAAGACAAGTAGTTTCTTTTTTTTTTTTTTTTTTAATTTGGAATTTTTTCTTTCATCATAAGAATATTATGGCAGGTTACATGTTGCATTCAAGGTGCAGATAAAAAATGGCTTTGAGATTAAAATATCAATATAATAATTTATTAGTCTTTATAAATGTTTCTAAGGGAAGCAACCAATAAAATATATAAAATTGGTAAATCATTTAGCATATTACTATATTCAGCATAAGTTTCATACAAATTGTAATAGCATTTTTTCAAACTAAAAGGCTTTTTTATTAAATTAAAAAGTTGATTAAAAAAAAATTAATTATATATTTTTTGTGAAGTAAAAGACAGACATCCGATCCGTATTAATAGGATCACGTATTTTCATGCACATTAAAAATTATATAAATAAATTTAAAAAAAAAAAGACAAAAACAAGGGCACCTTTGAGGTTGACTTTCTGGTCGGCAAATTGAAGCAGAATCTGTCGGAAACCAGATCTTTTTGTATAATAATTTTCACAGGCCAACCAACCTTGATTTATTTGTTAAGATTACTCTTCTTTTAGAGAGAGAGAAAAAAAAAAAAGGAAAATGTTATTTGAAGACCTGTAGTAATGTGTTTTGTTGGTAAACATGAGAAAATCCAAAAAAAAAAAAAAAAGAGAAAATACATTCTTAAAATTATTATGAAAGAAAATTATATTATGACAAAATCCGAGATTCCCTTATAGTCTTATCTGAAAATTGTATTTTTTAAGGATGAACATTCATTTCTTTTGGTTTTTTTTTTCCTTAGCCAAAAAGGGAGATTAGCAGTCAGAGACAAACAAGGACGACCTTCATTTCTAATCTACTTAAAACATTACTATTCAAGAATTTAAAATTCGATCGCAACCACGTCTCGTTTATCATGATTATAGATATAATAAATAAAATAATAATAATCATGTTTTCTGTGATTGTAAATTTTTTTAAAAATTTTTATAATTTATCATAAAATAAAATAAAAGAATAATTTGATTATAATAATATTTAATTATAATATTTAAATATTTATAATATTTTAATTTTAACATCTCGTTATAATCATAATTTTTCGTTATAATATTATTTATGGATGTAATATGCTATTTTTAATATGAACGACGATTTAAAATTGTATTACAATAAATAACAGTGACAAAGAATGATGCTACCGCTAAAATAGCGATCACTATATTGCGTTATAGACCCTATATAAATCCATTTCCTATTGTTTCCCCGAAGCTTAGGCTAATTAATTCCCACCAGTCAATGCGCAACAAATTGCGTTTGTTCTCCCTCAATCTTGTTGTTCACCGGCCAAACATAAATACTAAATATAAAGAAAACTTAAATTATATGTTTGAAAAAAATCTATAAGTGGAAACTCTAATTATATGCAGCGAATCAAGACATAATTCTATATATATATATATATATATATATAAATATATATTGCACTTTCTTCACGCATGCTTTTCACTGTCAACTCCCTAGCAAGACCAACCAATAGTGTTGGTTTGCCCTGCAGAAAACTTTTCTTGGACGGCTGTGATTTCACCCCAAGATGCCCGTGCACTCTAAACAACTTTTGAGTTAAGAATTTTAAACTTTTTTCAGTTTGTAGTTATCTGCTGCTGCGATCATGCTGGGAAAAGAGCTCTTCTTTTCACTCCAAAAATGCATGCATGGAGAAAGAGAAGACACACGAGGATGGAATTGGAATACAAGGTTTCATGCTGAAAAATTAATGTTATGTTCATCTAAACAGCCCTTTCTTCTTTTTTTTTTCAAAAGTTCTTTTCGTCAGATCATGTGAAATATATAACGGTAGCTTACAGCTTCATGTTGATCATGAAATATAGTACAATTTCATTCAGTTTAAATTCAATATATATATTTTTTATTTTGACAAAAGAAGATTCAAAGTTCAAGCCCTTCTATTTTATTAGAATCATACATCAACAACTGAACCAAATGATTTGGTGTCACTTAAAGTCAATATTAAGTACAATTAAACTCAATGTTTTTTTTCCTTGAGAACTATAAAACGAAAAACCTTTTATATTAATCTGCTTTTCTTTTACAACCTGTCTTGTCCAACTTTAAATTTGGGACTGAAGGGAGGGTTAGGGAACTTTGGGATTGGATTTCCTGTTGTGAATTCTAGTGTAACAGGCATTGAGTGGTCCATGCCATGGCCAAGAAGGCAAGGTCAAGTTGACCCTTGTCTAGCTGTAAGGAGCATAGGAAACGAAGAAAATGTGTTTTTTTTTCCTTCTTAAAACTATTATTCAATTGCAGAAGTTTCTGCCTTGATCAGTTCTGTTATAAATGGTGTCTGTCCCACCTCTATATGAAGTCATCAAGGCAACCCCATCATGCCATTTCTGCACTGGCAATCGTTTTGAAATGCCCATTTCATAATATTTTCAAAGTTGTCTCCCCTAAACTTTCTCCTAGGCCAAGCACTGCAAATATGTCACCATCCCCCAGCCAAAGAGAGAGATATCAAACTGATCAAGAGATATAATAATGGCATCAAAATCAAGATATACCCACAGCTGATACAAGATCTTAAATAATCAATAGACTATATAGTAAGCAAAAGTATATATTAAAAACCCAATCATTTCAATCTTATATATATACATATATGTTAAACATAGTCAAATAAATCTTACATAAAAAACTTTTGCTTACAGACATTCTCTTGTTTAGTTGGCCCACCGCCAAAGATGGTCCACACGTATGGCAATTTATACTTTGGTTTGGTGAAGGTGGGGTCTCATTCAGAATAATGATCAAGCAAAGAAAAATTGAAGACGCAAAGAGAAGATTACCAAATTTTCTTAGTTTTTCATAGAAGGATGACTCTATTTTGGCTAGAAATAGTGAAGGGTTTGAGTCTTCAAATGGGGACAAAAAGACATACCCGTGATTCCCGACGGAAAGACAGTGGCATTTTTCTAAGTTTGTGAGTGGGTGAGTGACAGGCAAGCACCTTTTTTAACTCCCCATTGATTGATGAGAAACTAAAGTGTATATGCCTTAATAGCACGCATGCAATAGGTCTTGCTCTTTTGCCTTCTTTATTTATGTCATCTTGGTGAAAGTCACGAGCTGACATGCGCTAACCATTTCTTTTAGAGCCAAGCCAGCCAACAGTCCACAAGCTACTCGTTTACTGTGCATACTAGTTAGCCAAATCTAATCTTTATTTTTTCCTAAGACTATCGAAAATTAAATTCTAATCACTATTAATTAAGAATTCGATGTTTCATTATTAAAAGATAGGACTGTAAGTGAATTTTATTTTGTATAGATCTCTTAGAATTATATATCAATTATCATTTTCATTCACTTTCTATTAATTTTACGCCAATTATTCATCTCAAATGGATCAATTTGTTGAAGGGTTATGATAATTAAGCAAAATATTGAAAGTAAAACATGATTTTTGTAATTGAAATGAAAAAGTGAGAAGAGGAGAAGAAGTTTAATTCAAAGTCTAAATTGCAGTAGCCAAACTCTATATAGTAATAGTTAATTAATTTAGTCCTCAAGCCATTGGTTTAATAGCTAAAGGCGTTTGAAGGAAAATCAAAGACTTAGTTTCGAGCCAGGCCTCCCCTCTCCTTCTTATTTGTATTAGGACTTTATCTTCCTAATGTAACAAAAAAAAAAAATAGTTAATTTCTATTAGAAGACAATGGTCCCCCTTTGGTAATTTGGCTGGATCTTAATTCTTATTCTTATAATATATAGTAAATATGTTTGGTCACCGCGAAGATAGCAATTAATAAGTTATATAAAAGCGTCTCGCATTCAGTTACTTTCATTGATTAATTAATGTCTAATTATATTACTAATCATAATTATTACTTTATAAATACACATGCATAATAATTAATTATGCATCATGCATGGAGGTCGTATAAACTATATGTAAAAAACAGTAGACAAAGACAGAGAGAGAGAGAGAGGCATCTCCCCATGTTTGTCAAAGGGCTAGGGTTGAACCTATTTGCTTCAATTAAAGTTTCATTTCTGTTGTATTCTGAAGAACAAAATCTCAATATTCCTCTCTTCCCTGATCTGAGGTGAGAAAAGCAGCTGATTGAAGACATTCAAGAGTCATTTTCTAGGTTTAATTCTCTAGATGACTTACTCTTCTTTGATCATTTGCTTAAGACTTGAAAACAAAGGCAGCTAAAGATTCATGATGGGAATTAGTAGTGATAGCTTTGAACATTCCGAGACCAGCCACAACAACAACGAAGATGAAAAAGAAGAGGTTAACAAGGTTAATGGAGAGAGCTCTAGCAATAGCTCAGTTGAAGAAAATGAAAACAAGTCTGCTTCTGGATCTGTAAGGCGGTATAATCGTTCCAAGACACCGAGACTCAGGTGGACACCGGATCTTCATCTTTGCTTTGTTCATGCAGTTGAAAGGCTAGGAGGACAGGATAGTAAGTATATATATATATAAAAGCCAGTTAAATTCTGGGTTTTTTTTTTTAAAATTTTTTATGATTAATTTGAACCCTTAACAACAGTTTAAACCCCAAATATTCTTGATGCAGGAGCAACACCCAAGTTGGTTCTTCAATTGATGAACATCAAAGGCCTTAGCATAGCTCATGTGAAGAGTCATCTACAGGTTGTTTTTTTTTTTTTTTTATGTGCCAAAGTTTCTTAGACAAATATGATTTTTGTTGTCAAATTTGATATATATCTTATTTTGAATTTGTTTTGGTAGATGTATAGAAGCAAGAAAATTGATGACTCCAATCAAGGTAATTAATTGGCTTAATTTATTTCAATCTATGAGTATTTAACAGTGCACAGACTTTAGGGTTTGCTTTAAATATATAAGAAAGTGCATATTTCCATATATGTGGCAGTTATGTCAGACCAAGGGCTTATGTTTGAAGGTGGAGATCACCATATATACAAACTTAGCCAGCTTCCCATGCTTCACAGTTTTATTAATCAAAGGCCTTCTTCAAGTTTTCGGTATAAAAGCTATTATCTTTTTCACTATTTTGAAATTTTTAGGTATCATATGGTCATATTTTCAACTGAAAAATGAAAATTATGATTAATTACCTTATGTTTTTCTTCTAATTTTTTAAGGTATGGCTCTCACAGTGCATTGGATATAGCAAGAAAAGGGCTTTATAGTTCAGTTTCAGAGAGAATATTTGGAAGCTATAACAACAATTCACTTAGCTTTAGTTCTCAAATGGCTGATTGTGGGGAAGCTGCTGCTTCAGGAAGACCTCACCAAACTTTTCATGGATCCTGGCAAACACAAACAAGACCAAGCTGCAGATCAATGGGTTCCACTTTCACAACCCAATTTCAAGAGAGAGGAACCGATCAACTTAAATGTTTGAGCAGCATTGGTAATTCACCACAAAAAAATAGTTGGAAAATGAGTCAAGACGCCCAACTAGACAGGCTGAAGAGGAAGACATTGGACGCGAATCAAGACTTGGATTTGAATTTATCCCTGAAAATAACAACCCCAAAAAATGATGAATTTGAAAAGGGTACTTTGGATTTGGAAGGGGGATTTGATAGCAGTTTGTCTCTTTCTCTGGCTTCATCTTCATCATCATCTTCAAAACTTAGAAAACATGCAAGGACCATGGCAAGTACCCTAGATCTGACTTTATGAATGAGACAAATATTCTGAGTGAGATCTTGAAGTACTTGTCCAAATGTGAGCAGCCATGCTCATAATCAATGTGAATCATTGTCAAAAACTAGAACACAAGGTACATTATCAATCAACCACTTGTTTTCTTCTTTAGTTGTTTTCATTGTTTCTTTGTGCATGAATTCCGAGAAATATTGAATGAATATATAATAATTTTATAGCATTACTAGTTGGAGAGCCGGTACTTATGTTTTCATGGAGGAGATTTAACCGAGGCTCTCTATATCCTAGATACTCTTGCTTAATAATAAAATAATTACTAGGGGAAATAAACCAAAAAAATTAAGAAAAAAAATTAGGATTATTGATCAAGAACCATGTCTTGAACAAAGCTAACCTAAGTATAATCTTTAAATTACACCTGATACTGTATTTATATGTTGCCAGAAGCGACTGCCTTTTCATATGTTTTATAATAAAGTGATCTTGAAAACAGGATAAGAGTAAATATATAAAGGTAGTAGTTATTGAAATGTGTTGGAGAGAATCATGGAGATTGCTGGCTATATATGTCTTTTTTTTCTTTTTTTAATTTTTGGTCAGTCTTTTGTCAGAGGAACTTTCTTAACAGTGAAATTTACCTTATACTAGTTCCCGGAAAACTTTTGTTACTTAAATTTTATATATATATATATGATACAATCACATTCCTATCTAATGTGGGATAAGAATCAAAATCCGATCTCATTAGGGTAAAGGGTATAACATCCTGTTTGACTATCTTCTTCTTTACTTATTATCTTCTCTGCGTGCTGCCTTCACAAAAGGATTTATCTTATATCATATATCAAGTAAAATTAAGTTTAACGTTAATTAATACATGATTAAATACCTAAGACTATGTTTTTAACTCTTAGCAATCCGGTCCTAACAGTTGGAGCTTGGAAGTTAATTTGGAACAAAACAGACTCCAAACATGGTTGTCTGCCATGCAATTAATATTTCCAAAAGGCAAAAATAAAAGAGAAGAAATAGTATGCATGTATATATGTTTCAATTTCCCTTCCTTCCCATAGGGGTTAATGTGACAGATGAAATATATATATATAAAGAAAAATGTCATCTCCAGCATCATTGAGCTTTGGTTAATATATGTCATATGAAGGGTTTTTATAGTAGCTTTTTCTGAGTATGGTTCTGACTGTTCATTTTTTCACAGATGCGAAAAAGGAACCCTATACTGGGATCTGGCCAATCATATTGCTTAAAACTTCCAATCATATTGCTATATATTACTCTAGTTATCTTCCAGCTTATTTACTTTTTCTTAGCAAGTTATGTATGGATCATGCATGTTATTCAAGTGGAAAATGAATAATGCTCAAAGTTCCTCTCACCCTTCTTTCTTCAGTACTTATAGGGTTTCAATTTCAATAATTTGAACTTGAATTGTTCTTGCAGCGATGATCTCTAAGTATTTTCCATAACAGCTTTTCAGACGTGTATATATACATATATATATATGTATATATATGACTTGTATTTGAATCCACAAATTCCAACCGTCCATTTTTCATTCCTGACAGTTCCCTCATCCAACTTCCGGTAGCTTGTATTTGTCATGCATGGTGGCCGCTTAGACAAAGCAGTGCTTGCTTTTTGGAAGATTTCCATGACACTCCAACCCAATAGAGGAAAACTATCGATAGCACATCGATTTATAAAGAAATGATCGAAGTCATGCAATATCAAAATCTATGGAGTATTATTGATCAATAAAATCGGATTTAATTATAAGTTAATACTAAATTTAAGTCATATTATCAAACACGTAAAATAAAATTTTTTATATGAATTTATCTACTTGTCTTAAGAGATAAATTTTTGTAAGATTGGAATTTGGTTTTTGATACTTCAAATTTCTTTCTTCAATTTCTCATTAGGTCTTTGGTTTGTATAAAAAAATTCATTTCATTTTAAGGACTATCATTAAGATATTGGGGAAAAATAAAAAACGTAGTGTAACAGTTTCAGATAGATTAGATCAAAGCTTTTAGTTCTCAAATCAATTGATCCATTTACTTAATTGGGCCTATTGGAAGTCCAAATTTGTCTCAGGAACAGGCTTGGGAATTGAGGCTTAACTAATTTTTCTTTGTCTGAAAGAAGTGATCCAAGGCTCAGCCCAGAATTCAAGCCTAGATTATGACTTAAGGTTGAGCCCAGCAACCAAGCCTAGAACAAGCACTTAGCCCACGTACGTAAAAGTGAAAGTGAAGAGAACAAAAATAACAATTACCGATCGAAATTGAGCAACGGATGAGGTTTTGATATCCTTTAGGACAAACCCCACACCCAGACATATGTGTTTGACGGTTATTTCTAAATTCCAACCCTGTTTCACTTCACTTCCTCCCCTTTCCCACGTTTCTGGGATCCTCGGTATATGCTTCTGGCATCTGTTTTTATCCTCCTGTCCCTTCCTGCCCGTTCCCTCCTTCTCCCCCCCTCCCTTTCTTTTCATTTCTTTCCATTGTAAACAATGGCCAGCAGCACAAGAGCTTCTTCTCTTCTTCTTAATAATCATAAAACCAATCATTTTCTGTTCTCGTTGAACTCCAAAAAACCATCTCTTGTCCACCCTTTTCCGCCTATTTCCTCTCTCTCTTTCTCTTTATCACTCTCCTCTTCTCAGTCACGTTCCACTTACACCACCATCACACGCGTCTCCACAGCGCCTTTAGAGTACGCGCCACCAGCACCAGACTCCAACAATTTCCAGAAAGAGATCTCCCGTCTGAAAACTCTGCGTTTGAAACTCTCAGCTTCTAAAAATCTCAAGGAGAAACTCAAAGTTCTCAACTCTGATTCAAAAGTCAAGCATTTTTTAAATACCCAAGGTTTTGAAAGGGTTTTAGGTTCACATGGTTTAGGATTAAATGAGTTGTTTCTTGTCAAATGCTTGGTTGCAGCTGGTCAAGACCATGTGCTCGACATGGGTTTTGGTTTTGAAGAAAGAGAAGGGGATGGAGTGAGTCGTTCAGTGAAGAATGCGCTTTATGTTTTGGTGGAGATGATTGAGAAATGGGATGTTAATATCGGTGGTAGTGGGGGGAGAGAGGGTTTTCTAAAGAGTCAAAACGGTGGTGTTTTGGAAGAAGAAGAAAATGAGGACTTGAAAAAGTTGTTGAAGATTTTGGCAGAGATTGAGGATTTTTATGATTGCATCGGAGGAATTATTGGGTAAGTTGTAACTTCTCTTCATATATTCTTTATCATTTTGTTTGATAGGAAGGGCCAATTGTAAATAAAATGATTAAAGTAGTTTAGTTAAATCACCGTTTCCCTTTAGGAAGGGGAAGGATTGGATTTTGAGGAAATGGAAAGATTCCATTGTAGTTAATCAACTGGTTTGGATTTATTATTATTTTTTCTGTTCCTTATGTTAATTACAGCTTCATTTGTTCTGACTATTTAAAAGCATTTTTACTTTGTATGCAAATTTTTTCCTTCTATACACTTGCATTTTAGCAATCTGCTTAAATAGGAGATAAACATAGGTTAGCTGTTTGGTGTGAAGTATCCTTTGATAAAAATGTATGCATAAGCTAGTACTCTTATAGAAAATTACACATTTCATGCTCTTGAAGAATGCTTCTTCATGTTTCTTTGTCCTGTCTTTATTCTTCCGCATAAATGGCTTGGATCAAAATGACTTTCCTTTGCACCTATGCTATTTTCATATCCCAAGGAGACTGTTAATAGTAAATTCGAAATAATTGATTAAATCACAGTTGTAAAAACTCCCATCTTTATCATTTCTTTTTCCTATCTTCGTCTGGTGGGTGGAGGATTGAGTTATCTTCTTGAATAACTTCCCCAGACATCTTTACTATATATGGAATTTATTAAATGATCGCTTGGCTGTTTTCCCTGTGAGTGTTCTTTTTAAATATTTTCAGATTGTTCCATGTCATAAAATTTTGGAATATATTAAATAGTTTCAATGAAATACTTGGTATAGATATCAGATAATGGTGCTGGAGCTCCTTGCCCAATCCTCACTTGGAATGCAGACTACAAATCACTCCCAACAAGTACATGAATCAATGGAATGCCAGTTTTTAGAAATTCATCCTCCTACTGGATGTGACCTTTCTCAGAACACAGAATATGCATCACAAGCAGCTTTATGGGGAATTGAGGTTTGTGCCCAGACTGTCCATTCATGTTAATTAAAGGGATGTCCCACAAGTTTTCTTGAATAATAAGATCTTATCCTTTTTAGGGTTTGCCAGACTTAGGTGAAATATATCCTTTGGGAGGTTCAGCAGACAGGCTTGGTTTGGTTGATCCTGACACAGGTGAATGTCTTCCGGCTGCAATGCTTCCTTATTGCGGGAGGACATTATTGGAAGGTCTTATAAGAGATCTTCAGGTATGCTATGTTTATGCTTTTGATGCTTGACAAAAAGATAACAGTTAAGTGATTCATTACTGGAAAACATAAATTATAAGTATGGTCTTTATTTTGACTTTATTCTATAATTGCAAGGCTAGAGAGTTCCTCTACTTCAAGCTGTATGGAAAACAATGTATCACTCCTGTTGCAATCATGACAAGTTCGGCAAAGAACAACCATGAACATATCACTTCACTTTGTGAAAGACTTGGATGGTTTGGAAGAGGCCGATCAAGTTTCCAACTCTTTGAACAGGTTTGGAGTTGAAACTATGAGGATGCCTTCTACTTTCTCTTCTATTCATTTATAAATAACGGGATTTATTCGTAAATTGACTTCTTAATTGCCAGCCTCTAGTTCCTGCCGTAAGTGCAGAAGATGGGCAATGGCTGGTCAGAAAACCTTTTGTGCCTGTATGCAAGCCTGGTGGTCATGGTGTAATATGGAAACTTGCTTATGACAAAGGGATCTTTCAATGGTTTTATGATCATGGAAGGAAAGGTGCTACTGTTCGGCAAGTCAGGTTAGCCATATATACTATATATCAAAACTTATTTTCAGATATCATCGTGTATCAGTTGCTGAATTTGAGATTTGCTTTGGTGAGTTTGCAGTAATGTTGTGGCTGCTACAGATTTGACCCTCTTGGCATTGGCAGGGATTGGCCTACATCATGGGAAGGTAAGCTTATATAAGAAACACTGATATGGTATGCTTTTCCTTTTATGGGCCTAACAGAGCTATATTGAGGTAGAATTATCCGCTAACATCTCCAAACAATTTTCGCAATTTTCTTTCAATGTCCATATTAAGATCAAGGATAAGAAATTGTTATCAGTTTCTAGGAGTTCATTAATAAGTTTATTATACCTATGAAGACTCACATCTCTGGTTATATGCGTTGTTCATCTTGGACCTAAGCCTTTTGTTATCTTGTTACCCCTTGTTGATTCCGCTTGTAACAGAAACTAGGGTTTGCTTCCTGCAAGCGGAACTCAGGAGCTACAGAAGGAATCAATGTTCTAATTGAGAAGAAGAACCTTGATGGGAAGTGGGCGTATGGTTTGTCATGCATTGAATACACTGAGTTTGATAAGTTTGGAATCACAAGTGGACCTCCTTCACCTGATAGGTACACAATTATTTTTTCTAAAATGTGGTTTTGTGGCTATATACTTGTAGTTTTAAATTTGTCCTTGATTTTCATTGTAGCATGTAGCATCAATTAATAGCTCTCCTGATTATTACATATTGTTTTCCATGTACATCTTCAAGTATCTTACTTCAATCAACAAAGTTAGAAATTCCTCTTCATTGTGTCAAGTTTGCAGGCAGAGTTCCCTGCCAATACCAACATTCTTTATGTGGATCTACCTTCTGCTGAATTAGTTGGATCAACAAGAAGTGAAAGAAGTTTACCTGGCATAGTTTTAAATACAAAGAAGTCAATTGTATATACGGATTATTTTGGAAACTGGCACAGGTACTTGGCTTGCTTCTTTTTGCAGGGGTAGCTAGTTTGTTTGACAACTTTTAACTAGCATTTCATATTTCACTGACCTTGTTTGTGTAGTTTGCGTTAAACATGGATCATGTTCCTCTTCAAAAATTTGAAATTAATAACCAAATAAGGGATACCTTATAAACAAATAAATAACCAACTTAAGCTCCAAGAGCTTAAATTCAAATGCCTACAAGATCCTATATTATTCTAAAACCAAAATGTATAACACTTCCAGGATTCAAGAGCCACAGAAATTATGATTCTGCTGCTGCTAAAACATGCATGACTCGGAATAAAACCTAAAATGCAGAAACTGAAAAATAAGCAACAAAGAGTAAGGAAAAATTCTCTTCCTTGGCTATATTGTTTTTCTCTATTGAGTCCTAGCACAAGATAAGGCACTTTCTGAAATATATTACTTTTTGAGCGATGCTAGTATAACTATCAAACTATCAGTTTATGCTGGTGATGACACTGGCCTTAATGCTGACAACTTTTCACCTGCAGTGTCCCTGGTGGCAGGCTGGAGTGCACTATGCAAAACATTGCAGATAATTTTCTTAATACATATTCATCTAGATGTTACAAGGGTGTGGAAGGTATGACATTATCTGGGTGCAGCTGTGACTTCTTATGTACAGCATGCATTATCTCTTGGTTAACATCATGTCTACATGTGTATACAGATAAATTGGATGCCTTTATTGTTTATAACGAACGGAGAAGGGTTACATCATCTGCTAAGAAGAAAAGGAAAAATGCTGATATGTCTCTCCACCAGGTAGTTTTCTGAATATTCTTCTTGTGTATCTGCTTAAGCTACAAATTTGTCTTTCTGGGGTGGTCAGATGAATCATGTCATTTATATGTATTTCTTCCTGCCTTAATTAGTTCCCTTCTTGTTCTTGCCCTCCTAATTTATTACTTTAATTGCTTTTTCTCAATCTGAGCACAATTACAGCATGTTTTTGAGTAGGGTTAATTTTGGTTTCTCCAATAGTAATATATTTAAGTTTGATTTAAAGTGCAGACTCCTGATGGGTCATTGTTAGATATCATGCGGAATGCCTATGATCTTCTTTCACAATGTAATATTGATCTTCCTCAGGTATTTCCTATAAGAGTTATGACAATATTAATGGACAAACCTGTTTCAGTTGAAAATGGCAGATTGTCACCATGTAGTATATCTATTTATTATCAAGTATTTTTGTTCATTATGATGTGCAAGAAATTGTTAACAGTTTTCCAGCATCTTTGTTTAGTACTACATTCAACAAATTTTTAAAGTAAAAACTTTCAACAAAGCTATAACTGTTGAATCCTTTTCAGGTGTATTGAGCTATTGTGTTCTTTCATATTATGCAGGTTGAAGGTAATGATAAGTATGTAGACTCTGGACCACCATTTCTCATCTTTCTTCATCCTGCACTTGGTCCACTTTGGGAGGTCACCAGACAGAAAGTAAGTTTATTCTGGCTTTTGCAAGTCAATAGTTTTCGCTGTTTAATGCTTTTTATTTTCCTTCTATCTTAATTGTTCTGTGACTTTGTAGATAGAAAATCATAAATCCATTTCCCAAAACATTGTTATTATTATCTTTCAAAAGTTCCAGCAAGGAAGCTGTAATGTTAACCATCAATTCATCATATGGTGGAGTTATAACAATGTTTTCTTTGCCTTGGCAGTTTAGTGGGGGTTCCATTTCTAAGGGCTCAGAGTTACAAATAGAGGTTGCAGAGTTCTTATGGAGAAATGTTCAGGTTGTAATATCTTGACAGATGTTTTGGTTGTAAAATTGTTTGCCTCAAATGCGTGATTATCTTTTATGCTGAAATGGTTTGGTTTTTCCAGCTTGAGGGGAGCATGATCATTGCAGCTGAAAACATTATGGGCTCAACTAGGAATGATGAGAATGGTGAACCAATATTACAACATGGGCACAGGTTTGGTATTGCATGCTTTTTCAAGTCTTCAAAGATGATAGCAATCAACTCTCTGGTTCAAAAGTGAGTTCATCTATGCAGGTGTGGAAGATGTAAATTACATAATGTAAAGGTGCTGAATGATGGAATTGACTGGAGTTCTGGTGACAATGTATATTGGAAGCATGATGTCCATCGTTTTGAGGCACTTAAGGTCATATTACATGGAAATGCAGAGTTTGAGGCCGACAACGTTACCATACAGGTTATATTTCATAGCAATCAAAATATTTTTCTTTCCTTTGCATTTCAGGAATGATATAACAAATCCAACAAGTTCTCTTTCAAATTGGGATGGTTTTCAAGCTCCATAATATTCATCATGCATACATTAACTCATGCACACACTTACATATAGGCAGCTGTGGTTCTTAGAAATCCATGGGCTGAGAAGGACTTCAGTTTGTGTAATATGGTTGGTCAAATTTTCTTATGTACATATGTGTGTGTGTGGTCAAATTTAAATACTTTTCCTGGTAACTTATTTTAGTTGTGTTGTCTGTTCGTATTATATCTGGCTGACCAAAAACTGTCTACATTTATTTTTTCCTTTCATGCAGGGAAATCATGTATTTGAAGTCCCAGATGGCTACAAATTGAAGATTACTTCTGGAGATCCAGGTTCTTTACTTTCTTGAATGCCTAATTGAGGCTCACTTGCTTTTAGTGTTGTTATTAGTTTTTTTACTTTTCTGACCCTGCATTTTGGATTTGTCCTGTCAATCTTTCCCTGGATGGATGTAGAAATTACAGGGAGGTATCAATACAAGTTAGGATACATCTCTGTCTTAATCTAGTATTTGGTTAAAAGGGAAGAACATTCATTCCTTGTGTTTGACGCTACTCTCTGGTGGGAAAGCATACATGTCTGGCTTTCGGATTGTAGCATAGCCATTTTGGTTAATTTTTGAGGTCTCGTACCAATAGCTTAGAATCTGTACAGTTCTGTAGATAACTTTTGAGGACTACTTTGGTCTCTAGTAATTGTAACAAGTGCATCGACTTCTATTTTAGTATCATTAGACTTGGAAAACTTGGTTATAATTTTAGTTTATCTTTTTCTATCATCTAAACAAACAAGTTTACTGTTATGCTTCCAGTAGGGTCTCAGTTTCCATACAATTTTTAAGGTCAGCTTATCTTATAGTATTTATTTCTATTTCAGGTTTAGCTGTTCAGTTAGACCCCATACCACAGAATCTGATGGACAGCGGAAGCTGGTTGTGGAAATACAATATCAATGGCAGTCACATTTTGTTGGAATTGATAGAGTTGTGAAATAATAGCCAGATGCTTAACCTTGTGAATCATGGTTCACCAATGCTGAGCTTCAGCCACTTTAGTTCTGAATGGTTGAACATGAGTTTACCCTTTTCTCTACGAAGTCCCAGCCATAGTTCTTTGCATGTACATTTTTTCTTATTGTAGTTACATTACTCATGTAACTTAAAATGTAAAAGAACCGTATAAAAGTTCCGGCAATGAAATTTGTCTCCATATGCTCTCTCTCTCTCTCTCTCTCTCTCTCTCTCTCTCTCTCTCTCTCTCTCGCAAATGCACATTTCTTTTTATTCCTTACTTTTAACCTGGAATATAAGACGGTCATCACAATTCTTGTGTTCATATCCCGTCTGCTACAATCAAGAATAGACTTCTTGGCAGAAGCCACTTTTAAGCCAATTTTCTTTGCAACGATTGCAGTTTATATATGTTAGGATGACTTATACACTCAAACTTGAAGCAGTTCAATTATATCTTGCTTGGCTACTGTTATATCCTTCTGAAGACTGGGTGTTTTGCATGTAAAATGGTTTTTGAAATTATTGAAATCAGAGTTGTTTGAATCATGGTCAAAATTTTCTTGAAATTATATGCTGTGGGATGACATATGTTCTCAAGATGATAGATCTACATTTCCAAATAAGCAAAATCATGCTGATTTCAAGCAGATGAATCGGTTAAATAAAGCTGTAGCTTTGAGATTCATTTACAGTAAGACGCTCTTCACTCTTTTGTTGGTTGAAATCCACAAATTTACACTCTTAGAAGTTGCTGACATTTTAGCCGACAGGATTGCGAGATTGGGAGCAGCACCTGTTGAGTAATCTAAGCAGTGCATCAGCTTTTCTTCGAGCTTGCAAAGAACCATCAGCAGCCAAGCTTCGAAGGGAAGGAATACTTCGTGGATTAAATAACAGGCGTCTGGCAACTTCCTCTCCTCCATCTTTGCACAACCCCAGCAAAAGTTTTATTGAGTTCTCTTTCCCTTTGGCTGATCCAAATCTCAAAAGATCAATAAGAAGAGGCACCAAAACTCTACTCTTCTTTATAGCTTCAAGCCCTTCAGGACAACTCAAAAGTAGAGCCAGCACTCCCAAGGCATCATCTGTTATGCCAGCCTTGTCATCCATCAACAACTCAATAAGCAAAGGAACTACCCCAGCAATTATAATGCTTGCTTTGTTAGCATTATAAAGTGCAAGGTTGAATATCGCGATTGCAGCATCCCTTTTTCCAACTGTTGTTCCCTCTCTCAGGAGCCCAACCAGGGCAGGAATTGCTCTAGGATGAGCTCCGATTGCTACCTTGAAGTCATCCATCATTGACAGGCTAAAAATTGCTGCTGCTGCATTTTCCCTTGCCTCCATGGTTTTTCCTGATTCCAAAACTTCCACTACGTTGTCTATAGCTCCAGCTGCCAATATTAAGACCTTATTGTTATCAAGAATGGAAAGATTGAGTAAGGCAGTGACGGCATTTTCCTGGATTCTTGGATCACTGGAACTTAGCGATGTCACAAGAAATGGTATAGCTCCTGCTTCCGCAATTATCCTGCGATTATCCGCGCCAGTTTTCGCAAGCAACCTCATCTCATAAGCTGCCTGGCTTTGAACATCAGGAGAACCCATTGCTAACTTCCCCACTAAAAACTCAGCTGTCATTTTGACAGCATCTGTTGCCACTTTTGTTGCAGAAATGTGATCAATAGCTTTCTCACATGCTTTTTTCTTGCTGTTACTTCTATCCATCTCCGAAGTATTTGATGATGAACAGTCTGTAAATGGGATATTGTTGTCTTGGCACCATTGGTGCACTAGACTCTTGAGTGCATAGTTTGGTATGAGAGCCATATGAATTAACCTCTGACCACTTTTTGGACAAGTATGATGTCCTGTGTTGATCCATTGAGCTATGGAATTTCGATCATAAGTGTGCCCAGATGCTACAATTACTGGATCTTTCATCAGGTCAAGTGAAATGGGGCAACGAAATTCATCAGGAATATTAGAGAACATTGATTGAGAAAATGAAGACTGATCAAGGTTTCTATTTATATAAGCATAAGGCTGATGCTTGATGTCTTCTTTGGTCTTCTCACTTTGTAGACTAGAAAAAATCAAGGATTTGGAATATGAAACAAGGGATATGAGATTGTTTATATTGGAAACTACAATTAGTCCTCCTGTACCTGCCTGTTTCTGTGCTTCTGCCTCCAGTTTTGATATTTCTTCCTCATAATCCAATGAACTTCTCAAACCAATGCTGCTCAGAACTTCTTTCACCGTTTCAATGTCAATAAAACTTTGGTTTTTCCTGTTCTTTTCATTGTTAGAAGCCATTACTTTGACTAGCTCATCCCTTCTTTGAAGCTCCCTGCAATCGACAAACAATTCCACCCTTTTGGCTTGCCTGTGGAGAAGCTCAACTTGTTCTCTGATATCTGTTGTTATGTTAAGCAAACTCAAAGGTAAAATATCGAGTGCCCTTGCAATCTCCTTCACTATGACAAAAAATTGATTGGAAATGAACTCTGTTTGAATGAGCCCCCAGAGAGAGCTACCATGTTTGCACCCTTCAATCAAAACTTTAACTCTCCGAATCACTGAGAAAAGCTCAGTGAGACACAAGACTGAAGAAGGAGGAAGTGGGGTGTTTATTTCTTTAAGTTCTTCAAACAAAGATGAAAGAAGTTTGATCCTCCTTATCATTGTCGAAATGTTCCTAACCTGTATAAAAGGAAGCTTTTCCATTGAAGCTATTTCGTTGGATACATGAATCAAAGATTCTAACAAACACCCAGATGGCAGAAAACCTGAGTATCCCATCATAGGAGGGAGAGCTAATTCCATGATTTTCAGATTTTCTGTCCTGAGTGAGTCAGTTTCTGAAGTACTTAAACATTATTTTCATGTCAAAGGTTTTAGCAGAAGTTAGATAACTTTGAATTTGAACAAACAAATTCTTCATTAATAATTCATTGGACATAAAATTATTAAACCAGTTGCCTGGAATTTTGACTGCTTCTCTTTGTACATTTTAAAACAAAAAGCCAACAGGGTGGATGCCAGAAGGTGAACAAGGGCATCCTAGGCTATTGCCACTTGGAGGATTTCCCTGGTTTACAGGGTTAGTTTATATTCCCCGCCAGTTTTATATTCAAAACATGAATTATTTAATCAGACTTGTCAACCTTTCTGTTTGGTAGGTTTCTAGACTAGTTTCTTGCAAATATATTGTTTTGTGCCAAACAACTGTTGAGCATTTCAACTTGACTTTTGCCCTGTAGCATACATATGCACATCAACCCAGGAGAAGGGTTGAACTCAGACGATCTGAGAAGTTCTCTTTCTTTGTTAACTTGGTTCAATCTTTGTGAAATTATTTGGAGTAAAATTCTGAATGCATTAGACTGGAATGCACCTTTCAGATCATATTGTCCAAAGAAAAGATTAGGTGACATTACAAAAAAAAAAAAAAAGATACATACGCATATTAAGCCATGCCTGTCAGTCCAGTTGGTAAAGAAAGTAGTTTCATTTCTTTGTCAACCAGGATCCGAGCTTTATAAAAACATTTTGAAATAAAATTTTGAATGCATAGTATCGATATAAAAACATCCTAAGCTGACTGTATTAAAAAAAAAAAAAAAAAACATTTGCATATTAGTACATATATATCACCCAATTTGAATTGCTTGCCTTCAAGCCACTAAAATTTTGCACTACTTGGTTTTATATAATGCTTTGCTCCACATCGAAACTGATGTATTGGCTTCTTAAGCTGGAGACAATGATCTGAAACTTTCTTTTTTTTTTTCTTTGTTTGAACAATGATCTGAAACGTTCTTAAGATTTGACAATACCAAACAATTGTAAATGCCAAATAATTTCTCAAGGGCTAACTTCAAATCATCAGTTTAAGTTGAACTTTGAAAAATACTTGGAAAAGTCAAGTCATGATTAGAATGTTCTCTGATTGGCAGTCAGATAAGAAAAAAAGAGTTGATCTGCATAGTAAAAAGTCTAAAGCCCCAAAAGCCTTCCCCATTTCTCTCTTAATTATGACCAAGTCACAACTGAATTTGGAACGTTTGGTTTGGCTTATATGCTTCAGAGAAACAAACAATTGTTTCTTTAATCTAAGTGTAGAAGATTTCCAATAAGGCATAGGGCAGCCAGAGAATGTAAGACAAATTGCATAAGTATTTCAGAACAAAAAAATTGAAAATGACATAAATCATATTTATTCATCTTCTATTCCAAGCTAAATGTATTTGAATTGCTGTTTTTCTTTCTCTTAAAGTTTTAAATTGTTAGTAAATCTTAACCTCTTTTAGATATTTTGCTCCTATGATTATACTAATTGTTACTAATTTTTATATTTTTTTTTTATTTGAGGAAGAAAAGATTGAAATCCTACTTTTATCATACACCAACTTTGGATGCTTAATTTGAATGCCCTTTTGCCACTAAACCTCTAAAGATTTAATGATAAAATAATAATTTCGATGTAATAAAAATTTCTTTCATCATTTATTCAAACTAACATGAATAATCTGTTATATTATTTTAATTGTTTTGTACTTAAAATGTATATATATATATATATATTTATAAATTTTAAATATTTAAATATAATTAAAGCAAAAAAATTAAAAACTATAATTTACAAAATTTTATTTCATCATTTAAAGAGTCTCCCCACTAAAAAAAATATGTGGAAATGACATGACCATACAATAATAAGTGAGATTCCAAAATTGGCCCTTCCATTTGCTTTTATATGAAAGTCCCCATTTTGATAAGCCCATTAAGTTTTTAACTTTGCCCCACATGTGGCACGTGATTAAAGCCATAAATCTTTTAACATTAAAAAAAAAAAAAAAAAAAAAAAAACCCACCTGTTTTTTTTTTTCGCCAACTTGGAGCAAAATACATGACAATATCATTAACAAATATCAATATCTCAACAAAGTGAAATAAATAATATTTAATAAAAATGTTTTTAGTTTTATTTTTATTTTATTTTATCCTATTCTTTTCATTATCTTGCACATTTTATATAAAAGTAGTGCAACTAATCTTTCTTCGGGTTCTTCCTCGCGTGAAATTAGGCATAAATCCCATGTTAAGATTTTGACAACAAAAACATTGAAATTTTAAATTTTAATTATGATTAATACTAATAAAAAGTATTTAAAGGGTAAGAATAAATTTGATTAACATTTTTTGTCATTTTTTCAAGATTCAGTCCGTTCAATTAAATTTATTTATATATGTAATTTAAATTTAATATAAAAATATTAAGAAAATATTATTATGCTTGCAGTTCTAATTCTTTTTAGTACTAGTTTAGTAATTTTATAGTGAAATGTTATGTTTCTTCTTCCTAATGTTGTGGGACACTAAAAATCAAATGTTTGAAAAATGGTGGGTTTAATCAATTTTAAAAAATAATAATAATGGAGGTGGGGCAACACCACAAGTCAATCTACAGTCACCCACACACAATATTTATAACCCATAAAAGAAAGCAAAAATATCAAAAATGGAAAAAATAAAAAAATAAATCAACCCAAAGTGGAGCTTGTATCATCTCTAATCAATCACAACTTTTGGGCCGGCCCATTTGCCCTTTACTCTGTGGAAACGCAAGCCTTTTTCGCGTGTCCATCACCGACCGTGTGATATCAAGGCCTATGACCATCGGACGGTTCGTGTGCTACCCATTTAGCCATTGTTTTGTGGTAAAAGTGGGTTTTGAGAAAACGACAGGCATTAAAATAAAGTGGGCTCTTTGGAATTGGTAGAGCATTATCAGCTCTTTCTACTATTTTTCTCCTTTCCCTACCATACAAATTGTTGAAGTGACAAATCTCTAACTCATTTCTTAAAACATTGATTGCTAAAAGCAAAAAAATCTTTAAAATAAATAAAACTAAATTATATTTTTAATATGATCATGAGTTTTTTTTTTTTAAATCTTAAGAATGTATTTTCTTATATTAACTTAATATATTCAAGATTTTTTTTTAAATCTTTTCAATAAAATTGAATTCTAATTAACAAAAAAAAAAATTATCTCTTTATCAATTGGATTAATTTATTTTTATATTTGTTATATTATTTTTTTTGGAAAAATAAATGTTCATTACTATTTGTTATGTAACTAAAGCACCAAAGAAAAAAAACTTTATTTATATTATTACTATTGTAATCACTAATTTAAATTATAAAATGAATGTGCTAACATTAAAAAAAAAATGTTCATTATTTTTGTTAATGTTTTTCAATTTTGAATGTATTAATTGAGGCTTTCATTCTATTTCTTTACCTAGACATCAATCTTTTTGTTGCAAAGTTTATAATTACTTCTTATTTAGTTCAATTATTATATTAAAAAAGAAAAAATATAAATTCATCCAAAATTAAGATTTAATTTTCAATACTTATAATAATTCTCATTCGTCTATCCTTGAGTTTCGGCATCTCTTATATATATATAAAAAAAAAATAACCTTAAAAATTATGTTCAAAGTTTATGCATTTATAAAAGAGAGTGAGAAAAATTGTGATTGAATTTAAATTTGCAAGGTTGAGTAAATTGACTAGACCAAAAATGTCCTCCAAATTAATAGTGGAAAATTGGAAATAAAATGCCCAATTAAGGAAAAAAATAATTTTTCTTGAAGAAAGGGAATAAACCCTATAGAATTTTCAGTCTTTTCTTTCCTCTATTGATTTATTAATACCCAATAATGGCTGACAAGAAATTTTTAAAAATTCCTATTTCAAAAAAAAAAAAAAAGGTGACAATTTTGACTCCACAATGCAATGTGGATTCCTAACTGATAATTTTTTTGACTCACGGTTTGCTTGGTGGGGATAAAAAGGCCCATAAATCTCATGGCTTCAATACTTTTTTCTTGTGAAAGTTCATTTCTTTCAATCACATGAAAGTCTCATCTTTATCTTATGAACTATCATTTCTCAGCCAAACCTAACCAATAAATATTTATAATGGTGCCCCATCTACAATTTTTTCTAGCTCCCACTTCCAAATTATGTAAACCAAAACAAACAAGTACAATTTCTTTTATCTTTTTCAATCTTTGGATTAATATTTTAGTACTATTATATTTTCAATTTGATACAACATTTTTTTCATTTGCTATAATTATATATATAGTCAAAATAAAATAAGTTGGGATTCAAGAATAAAATCTTAATATGTTTCATGGTGATGCAAAAAAAAAAAAAACTTTTAAAATTATTTAAAACAAATAAATTTAAATAAAATGTAAAATCTCTAACCCATATTACAAATTAAAACATAATCATTCCCTTCAAAGGAACACAAATTAAAAGGAGAGAAACAAAAAAAAAAGTGAGGAGAAGTGGTCAAAGAGAAAATTTTAAAATAAGTGGCTTGTGGAAGCCTCAAACCTGTGACCTTGGCGTTATTAGCATAGCCCTCTAGTAGCCAAGATATTTATTGATATATTAACTACAAAATACTATTTCTTACTATTTGTAAAGTTAGAGCCTATTTAATTGTAGGTTTGACAAGAGGATAAGACATTGAAGTTATAGCTTTTGGGAGTGTGATATGAAGAAGCAATGAGGAGTCTGGAGCCACGTTCAACCTCTTCTTGTGCAGCTTGCAAGCTCTTGAAAAGGAGATGCAGTCCTAACTGTATTTTTGCACCCTATTTTCGATCTGATGAACGGAAGAAATTTGCCAAAGTCCACAAAGTTTTTGGTGCCAGCAATGTAAGCAAGATCCTGATTGAAGTGCCCGAAGAGCAGCGGGAAGACACCGTGTATTCCTTAGCGTACGAGGCTGAAGCAAGGCTTAGGGACCCTGTCTATGGTTGCATTGGTGCCATAGCTTTGTTGCAGAGGAAGATGATTGAGCTTCAACATGATTTGGCCCTTGCTAGAGCACGCTTGGCTCGGTATGCTGCAACTTCTTCTGCGATCAACACTGATTGCATTAGCATGGGGCCTTTCGCTGATTTCCCAGCTGTTTGTGGCGGATTCATTGACAGTTTTAGCCAGAATATTTCATCTGAAGTGATTCAAGATGCACATATGTATGATTTTAGCCAAATTCCATATATATAAAGGTCTCTCTCCCTCTATTTTTCTCCCTTTGTTGAGTAGTAGTAGCTGAAAAAACTTGGGATCTTGGCCTTGAATCTATGTTCAAGATCATGATCAAGTTTGAATTATATGGGAATTAAAAAGGGTTTATCTAAAATAAGTTAAAAAACAGAATGCTAGTAAATATATCTGCAATTTGCTTTGTATTCTCTATAGTAGTCATTTCAGAGGACAAGTGAAATTATAACTCCTGGCAAAATCTCCAAAATGTAGGCCAGACTGCTGCCTTCATTTTCAGATACTCTCCTGCCCAACCAAGCAAGTATCACATGCTCTTGTTTTCAAGCTTGGCCTAATTCATCCCAGCATGAATTATGACTAATATTCTCCCATTGTTACCCTTTCCTCTCTCCCTCTGTTAATTCTCCAAACAAGTTTTAACAGCAAAAGACTTTAGTTTTGAAACATGACCTCCTTCCCTGATGTTTATGTCTCAACTCTCAAGGAGCAAAGATGGGGTAAGTGAGCAGATGGAAGGAAATCAGCATCTTTCATTTGTTATACAAGCCATTATGAGCACGATAAGTAACACAATGCAAGTGATTAGCTTTCCAATGTGCTAAAACATCCCCTGGAATGTTGACCATATCCAAGAAAAGCTCATTTTCCAATCTGAGTTCTTGGAGATTAAACATGAAGCTTCAAATTTTCCAATTGCTGAAGCTTCCATAGAATTCTAATCAAATCAGCATTACCTATCCATACTGCCATTTTCGACATTAAACCATCATTTATGACAACACAAAACTACAGAATAAAAATCACTTAAGAAGTTGATAAGGTAATTTCATTACAACAACTAGAAAAAAGATACAAGAGATCAGCAGCAAACATTTAATTTATGTACAAGAAACGATACAAGTTACAACCACAACATTCACATGGTTTTGATGTGATTGGATCTACAGACTACAGTGGAGACATCTGTCTTAGTTGGGATCAAAAGAGGAGATCAGATTAGCGCTTCTTCTTCCCTGTAATCAATGCATGAAAGTTAACAAAAATGCTCATCAGACATCAGAAAGTAAACACAAACTAGCTCAAGCTTAGTAGTAATATTAACTTCATTTGATAAATCAAGCTTGATAGCAACAGGAAGTTCTTATATTAGGAGACTCCATCGATTCTAAATTCAAATAACAAAAATTTATCAGATAAAATGACAGTAAATTATGGATAGCTCAAAAGTCGGCCAACATCATTGTTCTCTCTGCAGTGTGTTAAAAACACCTCTCCATTTTCCATTCTTTAATGACTCCATCTACTCAAAATATAATAAAATACTAGTACACCACAATAAGAAGTTTCACATGCATTCGTCTTATTTCGTTTAGAACAGCTTATATGATACGCAAAGTGAGGGCTAAGATTCAGATTCCAAAATTAGAAATTTGGTAAACAGCATCAATATTACAATATTAACTTGCAGACCAGGACAACATCACAATAGTAAAGAGTTTTTGATAACCGACAAAGGTAATGCTAATGGCAGTAGTTAGTGGCGACAGCAAACACTCATATATGCACATTTGATAGGTTTCGATTTGGTTCAAGCTGATGCTAATGGCTGTAATTAGTGGCGACAAGGCAACAATCATACATGCGCATTTGATAGGTTTAGATTTAGTCCAAGGTAATGCTAATGATCATAATTAGCGGAAAAAGTTTAATATTAAAACATAAGAATCAGTACGCAAAAATTAAGATAAAATTGGAAACATCTTCAAAGAACTAATAACACAAATACTCATACTCTGCCACTAATTACCGCCATTTAAATGACCTCAAACCATATATAAACCATCAAACACATTTATCATATCCCGTTTCATTGATCATTAAAACTTCAGCTTCTTTTCATTTAGGACATCTAGTAACAATTGTTGACTAAAAAAAATTTACTTATTTAAACTAAGCAATCAAACTCATTAACCAATCATCAAAATTCTAAATTTTTTTACTTAAAACAGAGCGAATTGAAGCAAAATTTAAATTTGGGTATACAATAAATCAAACAAATTTAGCTTTTCTTTTTTTTTAAGAGACCTGAGCGAGTCAAATGCTTTTGGCGCTTCGATTTCTCCATCTCCAGCTGAGCATCAACAAGCATGTTCATTCATTGAAACTCCAGATACTTTGTCAACTCCATTCCCTGTTTCTCAAGCTCCATCATTTGCTGTTGCTTCGAGCTCTCGATCCTCTCATATCTCCGAACTTCAAAATCGCTCTCGCTAATTCCTTACACTCAGCTCCATCGGATAATCCTATTCCTACAGCCTTCACTCGGTGTTCTTTCCTCAACTCATCGTCGTCTCCGTCGTCGTCATTAAACGAGCTGTCGTTCGACTTTACCCTCTTCGAAAAAGATGTCGTTTTGGGTTTGATCGAGAAAATAACGCTGGGATGCTTTTTATTGACGGATGCGTTGGCGCCGATGAGTGAATCGATGCGGGTAAAAAACGACCATTTCGACGGCGGCGGCTTAGCTCTTTCCAGCTTGTATATTGGGGTTGGGAGTTGGAACGGGATGGATTTGGACTATTGTATCAATCATACGTCCGTGCATTACCAATGGCAATCCTCTGCTCGGCAAGTCAAGTACTCTATTGTACTTTCATACTTTTTATAAGTTTTTTTAAAATTGTTAGGGATAACAGTCAATCCGTACCCTCCCTTGACCATTGCGTCGATCACGCGCAAGGAATCGTCGGTTCTTTCAAGCTTGTATAACACAAGAAATCTGGGTAATTTTTAATCTAGGATGACATAATATAAAAGATTTAATAAAATTTAAATTTTATATTTTATATTTTTATATTAACATAAATTATAATATATAATTTTTATATAAAATATTATATAAATATATAAAATTTTAATATTTTATATGAAAATACATACTTTCAGCTATGAAAAAATCGAACGCGAGCTTGCGACAGACGCCTTTGTCTAGACGGGATAAGGTTTCGATCGAGGATGGAGAGAGAGGATTCGGTGTCGTTGAGGAAGTTGAAGGTTTTGATGGTGTTGAAGCATCCGTCTCCTACGCGCTTGTTGAGGAGGTAGCCTTAGCCTACAGTCGTCATGTCTACATTTCGGCCTGTTTTATTAACCTGATCATAGTACTAGGCAAGGTGGGCTCGTTAGGGAAAGGCTCATCGAATGGCCCGGGGTTAAGGTTTTAGTATTAGGTTGGGCTTGGTCGGATTCATTGTCTTGGTCCCAGACTTTGTCTTTGTCCAAGGTTATTGGGCATGAAAAAAGTTTACAAGATTAACATGTTTTTTTATGTTAGAAAATCAGGACTTCATCTATATCAAAAGAGTTACTCCCAAATTTCTACTGTAACAAAAAAAAAAAAAAAGATATGTTGAATCATGATTCTGATCATTACCAACATGTTTTGTTATGTAGCTCAGTCAAAGAAAAACTATTGCTTTTATCATGCTTGTCTTTAGTATTGCTGTCTTGTTGTTATCGAAACAAACCTGGTGGGATTCATACAGATAAGAATCCTTTTGACAGAATGCTACCAAAAAACAACCTGTTGGGGAGATTAGGCTGTCTCACAATTTTAGCTACATAAATCTTAAAATCATCAACTTTTAAGAAAAAAGAAAGTGAAATAAAAACCCCACCTCCCTTTTGTTTGACAATGTCTTGATATGAATTGATTACAGGCCCCCACATTTATGTTTATCCAGATAATTATGATTTATGCAATTCAAAAATGTTCCCTAAATAAAAGGAAATTTTAAACAGATTTTTCATTTTTAATTTCTATGTTAGGCATCATGCACACAAAATAAAAATAAAACATATATAAAGAATAAATTAACAACCTAACCTAGATTGGAATTTCAATTAGGTTTTTAATCTTAACCCAATTCATAATAAGATAGATTAACTATTTTAGTTTTATATGCCTAGATCAAGAAAGAATATTAGTTGTAAAGAATTAATGAATAGTAGTAACTATGAACCTAACTTGATTAAAATTGGATCAAATTTTAGACATGATATTTTCAGATCGTTTTTACTTAATTCTTAATTTTTTTTATTTATAAATATTGTATGAAAACAAGAATAAACAAATTAAACTTTACTCTTCTTACATGTCCAATTCTACCCTAAACCTAACTAGCAGCCACTTTTGTAAGTAAACAAAATGAGTCTAAAATTAGAACAAATATTCGGAATCAGAAACCTCCTTAAACCTAAGATAAAAAAGAAAATTATCCGATGGAAGCTTTATTTATGTGAAAAGACGTGATGTGTTGAATCAATAATTCCCAGCTGGCAAAAAGGAGACAAAGAATATAGTAGGAACGACCAAAGTAGCTAAGCGTGCAGACCATGCATATCAAAAAAAAAAAAAAAAACTCACTCACACACACAAAGTAAAAGTGATTAGAGATTAGGCTGTATTCCTTGTTGTCCTATGTATATATTCTTGTATGATGATTTATATATTATCATTTATCCACCATTTTGTAACGAAAAACCTTTATGCTTTTGCGAGAGATTTGCTTCATCTTTGGCATTGTCGGGGCCTGGTTTGACCTAGTTTTTTACCCTCTTGACACACCAACATGATCTCTTTACTTTTTCATTCACCACTACAACTATTTACGTTTATTAAGTGAGGGTTTGGGTTCATCGAATTTTTAACTGTGGTTGAATTTATCATATTATTAATTAAATTTAAATATTAATTTTAATAAAATTTATTTATTATAAATTTTTTTATTATAATTATAATAATTTTTATTAATATTTTTAATCTCATGATTCATTTAAATAAACCCTAATTTCATTATCGACATAACTAAATTATATATATATATATATATGATTTGCTCAATGATATGATCGAAAATTTTTCTTTAAAAATCGAAAAAGTTACATTTAAATTATTTATATATCACTATAGATTAATTCAGTTGATAAAAATATGTCAAAAAATTTTAAAAAAATGAAATGAAATCTAAATAAAACTGAAAAATATATCTTCAAACCATTTTATTCTATGTAATGTTTCTCCTCATAATTGTAAGAAGAATTATATTGTG